CTCCGTGCTCTGGGAGCATCGATTGCAGCTAAATTATTGTTTAATATTTATTCTCCACGCTGTTCAGCGGCTTCCCTATTTGAACTCACATATGTTTCCACTTCACAGTTCCTAATGTAGATACTGTCATTTTTACAATTACTCAGGGAGGGATAGCTCAGTGGTTTGAGCATTGGCCTGCTAAACCCAGGGTTGTGAGGTCAATCCTTGAGGGGGCCATTTAGGGATCTGGGGCAAAAAATCTGTCTGGGGATTGGTCCTGCTTGGAGCAGGGGGTTGGACTAGATGACCTCCTGAGGTCCCTTCCAACCCAGATATTCTATGAAAGCATTTTTTGATCTATCTGGGTGAAAGGTGATATAAGAACATTGGACCAAACTCTTCTCTGAGTTACAGTAATGTGAAATTGGAAAAATGCCATTGACTTTAATGGAATTACTCCAGAGTTACACCAGAGAAACTGGGATTAGTATGTGTCCCAGGGAGAGGGAAAGACTGAGAGAGCCCTCGTGAGACAGACCATCATGGCATCCTAACAACCATTTAGCATTTATTCAACATATTACTGTTTCATTGAGATAATAGTCAGCAAGAGAAACTACCCATCTGACAGTATCTGAAACTTGCTTTGAACTTTAATAGTCCTTTGCTTGAAACTGCAGTGTTAATAAGTAAATATTATTACTAAAAGTCCAAGGAATTTGATATTTTTCCAAAAGCATGGATTTCCCAGCCTCATTTTATGAAGCATTTTGAACCAGATATTTTTCCTTTTAGCTTACCAAGGGATTAATAACATAAAAACTGGCAAGGAAATTGCCGTCTGCAAGCTGCAACTAATATTAGTTGATGTAATCCAGATATAAAAGCTACCCTATGCAATCCTTTAACTTTTGCAGCACAGAACTACATAACAGTGTGGTGACTTGTGCAAATGAAGAGCAAAGTGATTATTTATTTTTAGGCATACAGGGCTTTGTACACAACATTTCCCCCCTTCTCCATCCCCACCCACACACATACACTTTAGGAAGCTACGTTTAATGCTGACCAAACGGAAAGAAACTGAATTTTATACATGGTTTCCCAAATCATGTTTGTTCTGGAATGAGATGATTCAGGTTGTTGCCCTACCCCTCGGAATCAAAAGCAAACTGTGAAGTTTTCAAAAAGGCCTGCAATAGGAGGCGACAAGGGTAGCAACTGAAGCCTGGAGACAGACGAGATCAAAAAATATCTACACATGCTTGCAGTTATCCTCAAAAAAAAGTAGCCACAGTCCTTTATATCAATGGGAATTCTGGTTGGGTGAGGATTGAGAGAGGCATACAGGCTTTAGTTCCAGCTTTTTCTAATTTCCTGAGGGTGCTCTCGAAGGATGGAATCACATCAGCTCCTTAATAGTCACATTCAGTCTTATGAGGGCATTGCTTATAGGAACTATGGAGAGGGAGGGAGAGCTTGTGATAGTCATTGTCTACTGAACTTGGGAAGTGGTGGAGCATCTACCTATATACTGTAGCCACACTGCCTACAAGGCTTCTAGTCTCAACTCCAAACTTATCCATTCTTTATCTTACACTTCCTCATATTCTTCAGTTAGCTGCATTCCCGGCTACCTCCCTATTCTCCCATCCCTCAGGGGAAATTGTAAGTTACACCAATTTCCACTCTCTTCCACTTACCAATGTGTAATTTACATCATAATTTGTGTCACCGCTGAATTTGACTCAAGGAGTTCGGTCTCTGCTTTATAAATCATTTGTGTGCATGAGGAAATCTCTGCAAAATATGAATAATACCCATCTTGAAGCTTGAGAATGAATCATGGCACACTGTTTTTGTTCAGTTAGTCTCGTAGCACTGAACAAAGCCATTTCTTATATTTTGCTGTAGTGGTTGCAATTGAGAAATATTGATGTATGAGTTCCCATCCCCATAGCACATTACTGATGTCTAAAGTATTTGATCAATAAGTACTAGCCTTTACACTGGACCCTGAGATATGAATTAGATTGCCTCACACCAGTTGAACACACTTCCAGGAGTTGATATTAAATCTCAGATTCCAATCTGAGATGTACCCCTATAAAAATGGTTTGATGCATTTCCACGTCCATATTACTGTGGGCTATTTTATGATGAAAAATTGCAGAACAATGTTTCCCTAATAAAAAACTCTTCTGCAATTCATTAACCCCATCTATGTGGACGATATCATTTATTCACACACAGAGTGAAGAGCTGCAAAAGAAGGCAAAAATCAGCCAGATAATAAAAGGGAAATGTTCCAGCTCTCTCACTTAATAAAGCACAGATATCCAAAAAATTGAAACTAAGGGCGCATAAATTCTTACAGGCTCTAGCCAACTATTATAATGTTCATGCTAACAGATCCTGCAGCCTGTATGTTCATATGTATGGAGCTATTCAATGACACATGTATGCATGCTTTGGCAAGCTGTGCATCACATGCTACAGCTACTGAAGAGAGACATTGAGGATGCCTCTTTGAATAAACATTAACAGCTTTGTAATATGTCACACTGATTCTTGTACCACTTTAAAATTAGTCAAATTTTAGCACACTGACATATATAGCTTCCTCTATTACTTTTTTAAAAAAATCAGTTTTTGTTTAGTTTTGATTATAAAAATCATACCCAGTCCCTTTATGAAGTATCTTGAAGAATTTAATAGAGAATGATAATTTTTAGACCAACCAATAGAATTCAATACCTATCAGGGATATAATTTTCTACTAAATTCTGTAAGTTCTATAGATTTAAAAGTTCTATAGCTTGGATCACGAAAGCTTATGCTCTAATAAATTTGTTAGTCTCTAAGGTGCCACAAGTACTCCTGTTCTATTCACTATTAAATTAATCGAGTTATTAGAGTAATAGCTATAGAATTCTCTTGCTTTCTCATCTGTGTAAGGTTCGGTTTATGCCACTGAATGGTAAGATGTTGAATAGTCAGCTCAACTTGGTATATTAAGTTTTCTTAACTAAAGGTAAGACAGTATGCATACGGAAAGGCAAAACTTTTACCAGGCCTGTTCACTAGCACAGGGCCAATTTGGTTTACAATCTACAGAACTATTATACACTACTTGATTATCTTATATTACAATTTGTGGTTAGTCCATTCATTATTACATGTTTACTAATTGTTTACATTTCCATTACCCTTCAAATTTCCAGCTACAAAGAATCAAAACAATTTTGACCTACCCATTTGTCCTTTGCAGCTGAGTATATTTTCAAACTTAACGTTTTCTGCAAGATGATTCATATCCTCAATAAGAAAATGTATCGCTATCAATTAACATTATTTCTCCTTTCATAATGGTTTTCATACTTTATCCCATTCTGTGGTTTCTGTTTCTACATTATAACTTATTATAGTAGTCAGAGCCAATCACAGACATAAAAACAACCTTCAGCACAATCCAGACAGGTCACAGAAAGGTAATTCATTTCCATTTTAGAAGCAGTCTAACTCCTATCTGCTAGTAATTCTGTATTACATCTGTTAGCACTACTTTTTTGCAAGCCCTATGATAATCTCGCTAACAATTTTTAGCGTTAGCCAGGAGGGATGCTGAGAAGTTTAACCTTACATGGTAACACCTACCAAATTCTACGTTAAAGGACTATTCCATAAAAAGCTGCCTTTTAACTGGGCTAAGAAAACTGGTCTATAGAATTTAACAAGATGAAAACAGTAAGGTTCCATAGACTTTTTATAGTGTTCTATATATGTTATTCTAAAAGTCTATACAATCTAATAGCGAATTAGATTCTTTCTGCTGGTGCTATGAACTATTCTATAAAAATCTATAGTAGGCTAGAAATCTCTTAAAGATGACCTATAGAAGGGTATAGTTTTCCAGTACATATTATAGGTCTTTTCCATCAGGGTTTTGAACTTCTAAGTTTTTGATTTTATGTTTTTAGAAACATGAAAGTGTTATAGATTTTTGCACTGATTTTACAAACTTACTTCAATGGATAAGCCACAGTTCAGCAAAATACTTAAGCAAATGTCCATCTGTATTGCAGAAAGCACTTATGGCCATGTCCAAGTCTAACTGGTAATTTTTTTAAAAATACCCAGTGACTTCAGTGCCTAAGTCCCATTAACTTTCAGGTCAATGACAATTACTTTAAGGCCAATGGGGTACTAACAAATGTCAAGTTGAGCATGTGCATATGTCTTTATCAAATCTGTTTTTGAAAATGTAGACCAAATGTATTAAGATTCACCACATCCTTGTGAGGTCACTACATACTATTGTCATAAACATTTTACAGATTGGGAAACTAAGGTATAGAGAAGTTAATTGACTTCTCCAAGGTCACACAGAAAGTCGTTGTCAAATCAGAAGGAGAAACCGGGTGTCAGCATCCAAATCCCCAACTCTATCTACAAGGCCACACACCCTCTCAAATCTTTTGCTTCCTCCTTCTATCCATTATGCCAGTGTTTATTATCTTCATTCTTTTTACTGCTTTCATTTTCTGGCAATAACACTTAGCTTTTTTTTTTCCAACACAGCTTTCCAGATTTAAATTTTATTGTCCTCATAAAGCAAAACAAATGATAAACATTTCCATAAAGTAAAACCACTGTATCTAAAAACCATTTTAATTCATTATTTGTTTAGTTTTAGTTGGGATTGTGTATGCTCAAGCCTCATTTAGCAAGTGAAATGATAAATGACCCTACATAAATAGGGTGGTTGATGGATGGCTGAAAACAATTTGGCATTGCCCTTTCAGTTCTGAGTTCAACTTGAAACCCTAAAAGAATTACTTTTTCCCCTTCAGTTTAGTTCCTATAAATCACACCAATGAAAACAGCACAGGTACTAAGGCTTGCAACCAAATTCTTGTTTAATAGATCTGTGATCCATGAACCTTCCATATTTCACTATGTTCCCTCAAGGGAAAAAAAAGCAAGGGAATTCTGAATAAGAGCAGCCATTCTGTGCTGCAGTACTGAGATTTTAGAGAACAGCCAGCTAACCTGGACATAACATATTGCTGCAATACCTCCTGTTGTCTCAGTGAAGTGAGTAAAGGCTGAAGTGAGTTTTATTGTAGGTCTATCTGCTTTGGATATCTTTAGATTTGAGTTGTTGAATTATATTAGTGGGATTTTCAATCTTTAATTGTATTTCTTGTTATTTTCAAATTTTGCTGGTAATATTTTCAAAATGTAATAGTTTAGAAGAAAACTTTTCCTGAAACATTGTAATACCAACTGCATTGAGAGCAGTTGAGAATATAGACACTAGTATCTTCGAGAAGGAGATTCCAACAACTGAGGTGCAAGTTACATATGCAAAATGCAAGATCATTGTGTGCCAAGTTTGTATATGCAATTACAATGACTGTACATGCAAACAGGGTAAGCGTATATGCAAATTTGCCTTATTTATTTTTGCATTCAGTTACCTGATTTACATACACTGTTGAGATAATTACATGTGCAAATTAGACATACTTTTGCATACCCAAATTGTTTAAAAATATGGGCTTTTATTATGTTGATACAAAGTGCGAGACACATGCTTAAAAATCTTCCATTGCCATTTTATCAGGTGTGTAGCTGTATAGAACCCAATATGATTTCACTAGAATGACACTAGTGTGACCGTTTCATAATCTGTTAGCACTGTTAAAATGGCTAGGGCTTGAATTGTTTGTTATCCATAAAAGTGAGATATTGATAGCATTAGGTAGAGCTTGGCATAGCATAGGTAAGCACTGAACACATTGCCCTACACCTCCGAACTTGAATTCTGACCTTTGCTACTATTCCAGCCCTTGCTCTCAAGGGCCTCCTACTACAATGTTTTGAACAACTCCTGTGAGCTGCTGAACATCATAAACTCCTATTGATGTTAATGGGTATGGAGGGTGCTCGAGGCTTTGCAGGAATGGAGCTATACAAAGCAGAATCTGTCAGTTTGTGCCTTTTTGTGTCATTAAAAAATCAATTAGGGACTAGAAAAAGACTAGGATATTCATTTATGTGAGTTAGGATTTGTCCTTGGATGTCCAGAGGTGAAAAACTAGTGCAATAGATCCATCCCACCCGGTAGACATATCCAGTATTATGACTCTGATTCAACCACTGAAGCCAGTTAGAATCTTTACATTGACTTCAATGAACTTTGGATCAAGTTCCATGAGAATTACAGTGTACAAAAGCAGCAGAACTTTTATGATGTTTGCTAATTTATCCATTAAAAAAAAAACAGAAGGAGCAGTTCACATTACAAAGTACCTAACTAGGCACCAGACCAAACTGAAACTTTTGTAGAGGTAAAACTGTATCTGTTCAGAAATGACTTGGGCACATTTGCCAAAAGGGATAGATTAGAAATAGAGAACTAGTTGGATCCTCTTTTGAAAGGAGAAGAGAGTTTTTTTAATTAAGTAATAGTTGCTGCTGCCTTCTTGATTTGATAGAGAATGTTCTAAAAAATAGGGAGGCAATTACAATACCAGTCATTTAAGGTAAAATAGGCTTCATTAAAAGAGCCAAGGATGAAGACCACAAATTCTGGGAATGCTTAGACAAAACAGCCTCATGTGCCCTGGAAATAGTTACTGTGTAAGAAATTCATTAGCCTCTGAGAGAGGAATGGGTGAAGACAAAACGGTGCCAAGGGAGACAGGGGACAAGAGGATCAAAGAGATTCAATATAATGAATACATTGTGTAACCATGCAGAACAATACACTCCTATTTACATCCCTCTTGCTTAAGCAATTAACACAACACTGTAAAGAGGCAACTTAAGATTGATTAATGTACCTAATGTTTGAAACAAAGTGAAGTTTTATTATTTCCTTTGGCTCCATAACAGAAACACAATTTGTTCTAGAGATCCCAAGACATGTGAAGTGACCTCAGTAAGTATTGTACTATAAGACCTGATTTCTTCTGTTGTTATCCAGTCTTCAGTATTAAAGGAACAAGAGCTGTTTGTTATATCAGAAAGACCTGTTGTACAGGAATCATACTCATCTCTTAAAAGGAACAGGAGTACTTGTGGCACCTTAGAGACTAACACATTTATTTCAGCATAAGCTTTCGTGGGTTACAGCCCACTTCATCGGATGCATAGAATGAAACATATAATAAGAGTATATATATACATACAGAGAAGATGCATACCAGCTCTAAGAGGCTAATTAATTAAGATGACCTATTATCAGCAGGAAAAAAACCTTTGTGGTGATAATCAAGATGGTCAATTACAGACAGTTGACAAGAGGTTAAGGATAGTTATCATAAGGAAATAGATTCAAGTCGTGTAATGACTCAGCCATTCCCACTCTCTATTCAAGCCAGAGTCAATGGTATCTAATTTGCAAATCAATTCAAGCTCAGCAGTTTCTCATTGGAGTCTGTTTTTGAAGTCTTTCTGTTGCAAAATTGCCACCTTCAGGTCTTTTACTGAGTGGCCAGAGAGGTTGAAGTGCTCTCCTAATGGTTTTTGAGTGTTTCCTGATGTCAGATTTGTGTCCGTTTATTCTTTTGCGTAGAGACTGTCTGGTTTGGCCAAGGTATATGGCAGAGGGGCATTGCTTGCACATGCTGGTGTCACTTGAATAGATATTGGCATATTAGAATTGGCATCGGGCTTTGTTGCAAGGATGGGTTCCTGGGTTAGTGTTTTTGTTGTGTTGTGTGTGATTGCTGGTGAGTATTTGCTTCAGGTTAGGGGGCTGTCTGTAAGTGAGGACTGATCTGCCACCCAAGATCTGTGAGAGTGAGGGATCGTCTTTCAGGATAGGTTGTAAATCTTTGATGATGCACTGGAGAGTTTTAGTTGGGGGCTGAAGGTGACGGCTAGTGGCGTCCTTTTTATTTTCTTTGTTGGGCCTGTCCTGTAGTAGGTGACTTCTGGGTAGTCTTCTGGCTCTGTCAATCTGTTTTTTCACTTCAGCAGGTGGGTATTGTAGTTTAAAGAATGCTTGATAGAGATCTTGTAGGTGTTTGTCTCTGTCTGAGGGATTGGAGCAAATGTGGTTCTATCTTAGAGCTTGGCTGTAGACAATGGATCGTGTGGTGTGTCCTTAGTGATTGGGGAAAGAACAATAAACTCAAGGGCAATAGATTAATGATCTGAGAAAGAACAAGAGGCCAGTTAAAATATTAGTAGGTGAAAGGCCCAAAAGTATCACTCATTTGAATATGTAAAACTTCTGAGTCATGGTTGTGGATATCTAGTAACAAAGGCCTTGAGTACATTGAAGTCAGTGGAAAGTATTCACATTGATTTCAGTGGGCTTTGGATCAGGCCCATAATGAACTCCCAGAGAGTCTGTTCCTAAAATTAGCCATTTAGATTATATAAATGTAACAGACTTAAGGTCACTTTGTGTCCTGGGTGGTTGTATGGGCCCTTTAGGTGACAATAGTATTCAATCATCACTCAGAGGGAAGTATTCAAAAGTTCATTTATTAGTGCTTCTTGCCTTCATGGCGCAGGCCTTTCTGCTTTGTTATGGAAAGCAGTATGTCTTGACTGATGCTCGCTGAACAAGATCAAATTAACTTTTAGAACTATAATCCAGTTTTCTATGCATGCAGTTTTTATAAACATGCAGTTTTGCTTTAGAATAAATAGATCTCAAAACCCCCCAGAATACATGGGAACAAGCAAACATACTTTTGGTTATGCCTGAGGTTTGCAGAAAAAGGTATTAATTGCAGGAGATTTATAAGAACCAAAAGTATTAATGAGAGACATATAAGATCTATGGTCAGAGTTTTGGTCTCTAAAGTTTCTGGGGAAAAGTGAAAATTGTTGTTACCTGGCTCTAATGAATAAAAAATAGAAAGAAGACAATGGTGAGAAATATGAAAATAGAGAAATTGATTTAATCTTGATTTTTGTAGAACATGTTTTTACTTCATAGCCAGCAACATTTAAAATAAACATGTCCATGGCTAACATGCCCATTTCCTCTTAAACTCATCTTGACTTTCTGTGTGGGACAGAATTCAAGGCTGTTGTACTTTGGCAACATAATCCAACAAAAATACGTATGCCCATCGCTACACCTCCTTTTATAATACACAAATTAAGTGGTTTCCAAAAAAGATGAATGCTTGGGAGCATTTTGAGGCAGGAAACGTGCCTTGTTTTCCATCACGAAAACACCTAGTCCATTGTAGATCAAACAGTGAACAAATAATTAAAAAATATTAATAATGATGGGGAACCGGTCCCCCAGAGCATTCATGCATCACTTTATTCCCAGACACTCACTGCTTGGGCTGGATGTAGCAGGAGAAGTAAACAGATGTTCTCCAGAATGACTCAACACAAATCACCATTGTTCACTTATTTCCTCCACTTCTTGATGCCTGCTTCCACAAGCAGGTTTCTTGCTTCCTTCTCTGAGAATAACATTTTTTCTGAGAAATGCTACATTGGCCTCCCTGACTGTCACCTCACAGCCACCTCATACTTCAGTTCATCCAAAATGCTGCCACCAAAATCATCTAGCTTGCCTGCTATGTCAAAAATGTTCGGACCCTCTTCAAACTCCTCCTCTGGCTTCCCCTCACCACCCTATCAGATTCAAGCTCCTCATCCTTGCCTTCAGCCTAGCAGGATTGGCTGCTCAGTTTTTTAGGCCCTTGGGCCAGACCCTCAGCTGTGCTGCTGAAGTGTTGTAGTGGGATAAGTATGTTTAAAGTGTCTCTAAAGTGTGCTTCTTTGATCCTTGGGACTATAAGAGGGCTGCTTTGGGTCCAGGCACCAGGAAAAAGTGTGGGCTTGTGGTAAAGACATTAGCCTGAAATTTAGAAGACTCCTCCCCTTCAGTTCTCATTCTGTCACAGCTTCATTTGTGAACTTGGGCAATTCATGTGATCTCTCTGTACTTTAGTTGGAGATAGTACTACTTTGCAACTTCCCAGGGATGTTGTGAGGATAAATACAGTTAAAACCGTGAGGTGCTCAGATACTATTTTAATGGGGGCCAGATAAAGTAGATAGGTGTAATTTGGAGTAGCACCAGGGCTGCTCTAAATTCTGCTGGCTTATAACGACTTCCTT